CAAATTTGTGACTCAAGTCGAGGAAGCAATACCTGGTATATCGACACCTGAGTTAGACAAAAGGAAAGATCAACACTTTATCAAGTGGTTGAGGAAACATGTATTTATTATTACTTAAATTTTATGCATGCATTACCACAAATTAAGTCTAATATGTCTAGCTATATTACTTTTTGTTGCAGGTTGATTATGACGATCCCCAGTATCCCGCATGGTTTCGCGAAGTACTCCAAGGTCCAGTTGCAAAGGTCACTACATCATCGATGTATTTCACCCGAGGCTATACTTTTCAAACCTATGACTATGGTAGACACCGGGCGACAAGTAATTATGGAATATGTGTGAAAGGCGAAACAGATTTCTACGGGATCTTGCAGGAGATTTATGAAGTTCAATTCCCAGATATGGGTTTGAAATGCGTTATCTTCAAGTGTGAGTGGTACGACCCCGTCGTCAACAGAGCTGTTCGGATTAACAAGAACGGTGTAGTTGACGTCAATGGTGGACGAAGGTACAACAAATTATTTTTCGACATATGTACATGCATGTTCTGAGAACTAATAATTTCTCCGTTGTCTTAATTTTTGCAGGTACAACAAATTCGAGCCTTTCATACTTGCTTCCCAAGCAGATCAAGTTTGCTTCATTCCATACCCTCGGATTACTACAACGGAAATAAACTGGTTAGCTGTTATCAAAGTGACACCTCGAGGACGGATTATCGAGGGAGAAGAACCACCATTGCAAGAAGAAAACACCAATGAAATCGAGGAACCTGAAGCAGAACTTGATGACATCCTACTCATTGATCCGTATAATCGTGAATACGAAGATGTCCCTGATCACTCAACGGACGACGTTGTTGAGGACGAGTTTGCCGAAAATGATGATGTTTCTACGGATTATGAGAATGTATCCGAATGAATTATATGTTTTTATAAGTTTGTTTAATCAAAAAACCAATTTCAATAAAGTATGTTTTATGTTTTTAAGCTTGTTTAATAAAAAAAATGNATCAAAAAACCAATTTCAATAAAGTATGTTTTATGTTTTTAAGCTTGTTTAATAAAAAAAATGAATTTGGGATTTAGGTGTAGAAGAGGTTAGGATTTTAGTTGTAGGAGAGGTTATAAGTTAAGGAAGTTGTGGTTTGGGGTTTGGGGTTTCGAATTTAAGGAATTACAAACACTTTCCTCGTAAAGGCCTAGTAATTAAAAACACGGGCATAGCTATTTCCTCGTAAGCATTACGAGGACTTTAAGAGGAAAGATACGAGGCTCTTACGAGGAAAAGGTACTTTTCCTCGTAAAGCCCTAGTAATGAGCTTCTTTACTAGGAAATTAAGAGGAACTAGATAGATTCCTATCAATTTCCTAGTAAATTCTCAGATTCCTATAAATACCACCATATGTGATTCATTTGAAACACACCAAACAAATAGAAAACACTCAATTCATAACTGAAAGGAGTTCACAGTCAACATAATAGTTTCTTATCAACTCCTCGTAGCTTTTCCTCGGGTAGATAGTTCGAGGAAAGCTATGTGGGATTGATAAAAACCGTTACGATGACTGTATACTTCTTTTAGTTTTTTTTAATTAGGTTTAAGGTTTAGGTTTAGGGTTTAATTAAGTTTAAGGTTTAGGTTTAGGGGTTTACAAACCCTTTCCTCGTAAAGCCCTAGTAATTGAAAACACGGGCATAGCTAGTTCCTCGTAAGTATTACTAGGGCTTTACGAGGAAAAAAACGCGGGCATAGCTGTTTCCTCGTAAAGCCCTAGTAATATTACTACGGCTTTACGAGGAAACAAAATTCTTATATATACCCGAGCAATCCGACTGCTCAGTCATAGTAACTTCCTCTCTACTTTCTCTTAAGGTACTCTCTAGTTCCTAGTTAGGTGATTAGATTAGGTGGTTAGTTTAGGGAATTTAGATTAGGTGGTTAGTTTAGGGAATTTAGATTAGGTGGTTCGATTATGAATTTTTAAATACGATTGTTTAACTGTTTCTGTTTTCTGTTTTTTTTTTAAATTTAGATGGTTAGAAAGAGCAAACTTGATGCTGCGTCCAAGAGGACTGTAGATGACGGGATTCATTATGCGGATTTATTCGGGTCCGGGTCCTCTTCATCAGCGGCCGGTGGTTCAGCTTCAGGAGTTCCCGAGACCCAGCCACCTCCTCAGCCTCCTCATCAGCAGCCACCTCCTCAGGCACCTCCTCAGCCACCTCCTCAGCCACCGGTCGGGATTCATCCTGACTTGAGGTACCTCCCAACGCACCATTTGCGTTGTACACGGTGGAGGATATCTTGGCCCTTCCAGGCAGAGAAGGGCTACCAGAGTTAGATCCTTTCCGGCGGGACGGCCAAAACGTATTATGGTATGTTTTAATTTTTAAATTTTTTTATTAAATAATTTTTAAAAAGTGTTCTTATTAATGATTTATTTTCTGTCTTTCCAGGTTTGGTCTTGATAACGCTGTCGGATCTAGCGTCACGGACTGTATCAAGGGATACTTTCCCGATGCAGCTCCAAACTGGAGGCTGACGGCGAGCCACACCAAAAAGACGTGGTTCAAATCGTTCGCTGTAAGTTTAATTAGTAAATCAATTTAATTTATTTTTATAATCATTTAAAATTATGAATTTTATTGAACTAATCCGTCTTTTATTTTTTTTGGTTGCAGCAAAAATACCGTTGGTCTATTGGGATTCACCAGCGGGTGAAGACCGAGTTCGAGACCAAGGCAAAAGCCCGATTGTGCGACATGGTCTACAACTGGAAGGGCGACTTTCAGGTATAAATTTTAAAATTATAATATATATTAATTATACTTTTATTTAAAAATATATTTTTTGACTTTTATTCTAATTATTTAATTTCAAATCTGCAGGTGAATGGTTACGAGCGCGGGAAACCCGATTGCCTCACAACCACGGTGTGGGATGGCCTCATCAGCTATTGGGCGTTGCCGGATTCGATCCGAACGTCCAATACGAACTCCGGGAATCGCATGGCCACGGACGAGTATGGCAACACGAAGACACTTCACACCACGGGCCGAAAGCCTCACGGGGGAGTTCGTCTAGACATGGTACGTATTATTTTATAACTATAAAATTTTTACTTTATTTTAATATTCTAATATTCTAAATTAATATTTAATTTAAAAAAAAATGCAGGCTAAAGAGACGGGAGTTCTTCCGTCTCTGAAAGACCTTTACGAGCGGACCCACCGGAGGAAGGGTGGGCAGTTTGTAGATCCTGCTTCCGAGCGGATCTACAACGAGGTTGCTGCCCGAGTTGACGACCGCCAGACCCAGTTGACTCAGCAGACTGGGGCTCCGGTCGTATTATCCACTCTTGAAGTGGATAAGATTTACGAGGAGGTAAATAATTTTAATATATTAATTTTTATTATTTATTTAATTTTATTGCTTCGGTTATTAATATTTTAATTTACAGGTCGTTCCGAGGAAAAAGGGCCGTGTTATCGGGATTGGCTCGGTTNGATTTACGAGGAGGTAAATAATTTTAATATATTAATTTTTATTATTTATTTAATTTTATTGCTTCGGTTATTAATATTTTAATTTACAGGTCGTTCCGAGGAAAAAGGGCCGTGTTATCGGGATTGGCTCGGTTAACGATGTCCCCGCAGCGACATCGGCTTATGTTCACCAACAAGCCGATGACAATGCGCACCTACGTACGGAGTTGCAGACGACGCAGACGGAGTTGCAGGCGACGCAGTCTCATGTGCGTACGCTCACGAGTATCCTCGACGTTGTGGCGCTATCAAACCCGCAACTGGCGGAAGTGTTGCGTCAGAGACGGGAAAGCGGAGCCCTTCCAGCCCAAGAGCCTCCACCAGCTCAGTCACAGCCGGCACCCAACGACGTCGACCCTGGAGACGACTTCGTGAACCAATTTTAGTTTTTAATTGTATATTATGAATTTTAAAACTTATTAATTGTATATTATTTAGTTATTTATAAATATTTTTTTTTTATTTTTTAATTTTTTTAAATATATATAATTTTAATTTATAAATATTTTTTTTTAATAGGAAAAAACTGTTTCGAAGTAAAGTCCTCGTAAACTATTCGAAGTAAATTCGTCGTAAAGTTTCCTAGCAAGTTCCTCGTAAAGGGTGTACTACGCCTTTACGAGGAAACTTTTTACTATGCTCTTACGAGGAATGTGTACGTGGCTCTTACGAGGAAAACCTTTTCACGGCTTTACGAGGAAACTTTTCCTCGTAAAGTAGCTAGGCTTTTACGAGGAAAATAGCCTTTACGATGAACGTCTTTCGACGAAACACGTTTTCTCGCTATTTCCTAGTAAAGGGCCATTTACTAGGAAATAACGAGGAAAACCCGTCCTAGTAAATGACGTGTTTTCTTGTAGTGTGTGGGTTCAAAATCTAGTTGCTTGATTATAGTGAAAATATAATTGGGAATATTGATTGTGACAATATTCAAAAGTTGTAAATAAAGAAACGTATAATAAAGTATTACCAAAAAAGAACAAAACGTAATTATAATTAACGTGCTATTCATTCCTTGACTGTGTATATATATAACAGAGCATTCTCAGTTTTTAAGGCACAACACAACAAAAAATGTCGAAAGGAACTAGGATGGCTTTAGTTATGAATCTCTTATCTCTTTTATCCTTTGGAGTCTTAGTTCATTCCGATCAAAGTACCATGCCTCTCAGATCCTTCAAGGTCAGCTTTAAAACATAAACGTTAGACACACATGTTTTTCTTATTTGATATATTTATTTAAGTCATCATCGTTTTGCTTATATCATGTATTGAGTTCAGCATCTTTTTTCATTTGCAGATAGGTGAAAATGTAACATATGATTGCATAGATATTAATATGCAATCAGGACTTGATCATCCCTTACTCAAAAACCATACAATCCAGGTGCATGGTTTTAAAAATTGGTCTCCTACATACATTTTTTATTTTTAACATGAATATATCTTCACCTTTTTTAATGTTTTTTTTTTCTTTTGGAAGATGAAACCATCAGTTTCAAGGACTAAATCAAAAAGTCAAATTGGCATAAACCACGTACAAAAACAGACAATACCATGTCCAGATGGGACCATTCCTGTATGGAGAAATACAAAAGAATTCATCACCAATGCTCAAGTTTTGGCCGAGAAGCATGTCCATCCGCTATCAGCTGATAGTCCTGGAACACATGTAAAACATTCAATTTTTTTCTTTTATGCATATTTTCTTAATATATATATATATATATATATATATGTATATATATATATACATATTTTTGGACTTTAAAGCTGATAGTCCTGGACTTTACATTTTCTTATATGATATTTTTTTAATATATATACATACACACATGCCACACAATGGTCACTATAAACATTCACTTTTGGTAGATTGCTGGAGTAAGGTCACACAATGGTCCATATCATGGTGTAGAAGCTTGGTTTGATGTATTACAACTAGACATCGCAAAAGATCAAGCCTNTTAAAGCTGATAGTCCTGGACTTTACATTTTCTTATATGATATTTTTTTAATATATATACATACACACATGCCACACAATGGTCACTATAAACATTCACTTTTGGTAGATTGCTGGAGTAAGGTCACACAATGGTCCATATCATGGTGTAGAAGCTTGGTTTGATGTATTACAACTAGACATCGCAAAAGATCAAGCCTCGTATAGTCAAATATATATAGGCAGTGGATCAAACAAACAGGTCAATTATATCTCAGCGGGTTGGATGGTAGGTTTACATTTCATTGTTTTTTATTTAATTCGTTTGATGGTCTGGGTAGTCCTAAAACAATGCAAGTCTTTTACAGATAAATCCAAGTTTTTTTGGCGACGTACGTACTTGGACATATGGATTTTGGAAGGTGTGCATGTCATATATATTCTTGATTTCTGTCTATTTGAGACATTATAATATAGTTGTTGACTATTAAGATCAAATAACATATAAATATAAATGTGATTTTGATAGGGTAAAGATGGAAAGGGATGTTACAATACTGCGTGTTCAGGGTTTGTTCATGTATCACAGACAATTCCCATTGTTCAACCCGTTCATATTCCTGTTGGATCAACTGTCTCGTTGCAATACTCCATCCATCAGGTACGTTTCCTAATTTTATATATTTATTTCAAGTTTTCATTCCCATTTAGTAGTAAAGGATTTATGAAGCATGAAATTTATACAATCAAATTAATGGTTAATGTACATAACTATCTTTTAACTAGTCTGTAATTTATCCTGTTCAAATAATTTCGTTTAACACATTTGTATAAATTAACAAATATTTCTTCTATTAAATTCTATGTGAAAAGGACAAAAATACAGGAAACTGGTGGCTTACAGAAGTAGGGTTAGGCGACATTGGATATTGGCCAAAAGAGCTATTTAACCTTTTAGACAATGGTGCAATTATGGTCGGAGCTAGTGGTACTGTTCAGGCTTCGCGTTATGGTTCAAGCCCTCCCATGGGTAATGGTCAATTTCCGAGGGCAAATCAACCTACAAAATCAGCAGTGTTCACAAACATAGAGGTTTTGGATTCCAACTATGAGCAACATAAAATGAATTATGTTCCTACAGAAGTGATTCTAGATAGTCCCAAATGCTATGGGCTGAGAATTGGTAAGAGGTTTTTATACAAACATTTAGGTTTCTACTTAAATTATGGAGGTCCAGGAGGACACTCTTGTTGAGTTTGATATATTTGAGTGTAATATTGAAATTTGAAATTCAATAAATAATATTTATATTTTTTTAAGAAAGTCAGTGAGTAGTCTGCCTTTTTTTCTCTCTGTGTCATTTAAGTGGATGATTTCTTTTTTTTTTTTTTTTGAGAAAGTGGATGATGTCTTATTTAACTGTTAAACCTTTGTAAAATTTAAGAGGAACTTTTATCAAATTATCTCAACCGAGTAAACCATCTAAACCAACTTATATATACCATAATACAGTTCACTAGAAAATACGAGTTAGACCTTCGCAAATTGTACCTTGATACATGTTTTCCCTTTTGTTCTGCTCCTCGCGTCATGCATCAAACCTACTAAAAGTATTAAACTGTACAAAGAACGAAGCGGATAGAATAATATGGTACTTTAAAATAAATTACTAAAATAAATTACTAAAACTCTGGAGTATGAGGTATATAAACTGGCATGAATAGAACTTTTTTTTCTCTCTGTGTCATATTATTCTATCCGCTTCACACATTGCATTTTGACCCAAATAAAAACAATATATTCACTTGACTAAGACTGGACATCATCATTTGTGGTATCTGTTTTTCTTATTACTACATTTTTATGCAGAGGTAACTGCAGATTTCATTTCAGGATTCGGGAGCAAGTCTACTGGTTCTATTAACAAATCATACTTCAAGCATTACCTGTGTCATGAGCAATAAGGTTGTGTTCTGCATCAATGCATTTTTATTTGTACTAAATCGTGAGATCTTCAAACAATTTTAATTTTACCACAAAAAGATAGAAACATCTTTTTTTGGGCAAAGATAGAAACATCTATTTTATCATAGAATGCCCTTTTAAAAAAAAAAAAGAAACATTTATTTTATCATATAAACATTTCCAGGTGCATGGGAATTGTATCGGCACTGAATTTAATCATAACTATTCTATCATGTAATTTTTTACAGTCGATGAAAACTTGTTAGAAGTTTTGATCATATAATAACTCTGTGAATTTGTAAGAATAAGAAATAACGTAAAAATAAATTACTAAAGCTCTGGAGTATATGAGGTATACAAACTGGCATGAATAAAACTTTAAGTATGTTGTTTAGTTAAATTTGTATTTTTATTTTTATTTTTCAACAACATTCAGTATGGATATTCTTCCTCTCTATCCAAGGGAATGGTATGCATATAAATAAATTAAAATTTATTTCAATTATTTATTCTTGTATTTATCTTATATATCTGTGTGGATTTTGTTTTGCGTTTCTCCGCGAGAAGTGTCTTTCTCTTGCTTTGTGAAATCACGCCGGATCTGATTTCTAACATTTGTTGTTGTATTCAAAATGTCTTTCCCAAATTGAGGATTCTGCCGTGTATGTTTTTGAATACTGTTGACTCTATTCAGATTTTGAGAAAATGTTACTTTGAATCCCATAATTAGAATGGAGAGGATGAGTTTTCTCCTGATGATCGCAAAAAGAAAGCTGAAATCTGTCACATAGATGCTGCTGCGAGGGTACAATACTCTAGACCGGTGGAACCAATTGTTTTATTGTCTCTGTTTTGTTTGTAACAATTGTTTCAAGTCTGTGAGCTTTTGTTTTATCACCATTCTGTAAAGCTTTGACCTTCTATTGGGGGTTTTAAGAGACCAACTATCTACCATCCATTAGAGCACAAGAGGTTATGTGACCTCTAATGCATATTTTCATATTTTACTTCATGTAATGCCACGACTAGGAGGCTAATATAAAGTAAAAACTTATGTGCTTCAATGAGAGGTCTGTCGTTTTTATTGTTACAGTGAATCCACAAAACATACACATTTTGAACACGCATACACATACTACTACATGTCTATATATGTCACATGCATATATGAAAATAGCTTTAATTAAATGATGTTGAATGTGGAGTACAAAGGGCTAATAAATCTCAATCATGTCATCAAATTTATGTCTTGGAATCAAAGTTCAGGTTGTTCGAACAGATTAGTATGGTCAACTGGTCACAACATGGTAGATCGGAACATGACAGGGAAACCAATAGATTATTTTTTGGTACTGTTTTTGTAATACTTTTCACAGTTCACAACACTTGCATTGAGTTAGTCTTATGTCACCTTTCATTATTACTAAAAACTCTTTGCCTCCCAGCCATTTATTCTTTTGGCGCTTTGAACAGTCGTTAGAACTAAATAGATTATTTTTTGGTACTGTTTTTGTAAATCTTATATAATAAAGAAAGGATCACGAAGAAGAAGGATCAACTTGAAAGTCCGAGTTTCTAAGCGTAGCTCTTGTATGAGCTCTTGCTTGGTTGCTTGAGAGATAAGTAAAAAATGAAAAGAATAGTTATATTGATTGTACTAGTGGTTTGTCCGCGCTTCGCGCGGAATTTTTACCAATTTATATAATTTTATTATAAATTTTTGTTGTTAAATATCATTTTTATTGAAAAATAACTCTTATAAAATTGCTAATTGTGTCATGCCAAAGAGTTGATTTATATTGTTTAATAATGTGTGATTGCATTGTGCATTTGATGAAATGAAATTTGGTCTTGTCAATGGATTAATAATAGTAGGGGGACAACATATTGTATTTTTTTACGTTAACAGCGTGGCCTATTGTAGTTGCATGTTTGAAGATAGTAAATAATAAGATGTGCTTTCAAACGAAGAAAACAACTTTTTTTATTTGCTTAAAAAGTAGCATAAGTTCATTAAGAACTATTTAGGTTGTTTCCCTAGCTATCTTTTAGCCTGCAATGGAGTTTTAAAAAAAAAAAAAAAAACTCCTTGTCAAAGTTTAGAGTCGACAATGGGGTGAGTTGAGATTTTTTAGAAATGATAACTCGCCTCTTGCTTGCGGGAAAGTTGATTAGTGAGCTACTGCGTTGGCAGGCTTTCCACTGCAGCTGCGTTCTCATTATGTTGTTTACAGATCTGACAAATTAATTTCATGAAAAACAATACTACAAATGTTTAACACACCTTTTTCTTGTTTAGTTATGTGGGATGGAGACATGTTGTTGATAGACGACCCCTCACTACTCTTACAATTCTCTAGCAATAGTTTTATATTTTATAACCTACATTACTTTGGTTTGTAAAACAAATGTCTATGATTTGTGGAAATGTGTAATTATTTTGTTAGTGGGTTGATGATAGCAGATGTATAATGGTTTAAATGATGAGCTACTTGTGAAAGAAAAATGATTCGCTATGGTGCATTGGCATTCCATATCACCTCAGTTATTAAATCTAGCTGCTTTGAAACAAACTTATGAACTGCAAATGTTGCATAACAATGAAAGAATATCTCACTCGGCTAGTAATCATTGGCTCTACATATGTCTACTTGCTACAACATCGATAATAATTAATTTGAAAGAAAATGTGAATGCTCTTCCTCTTGAGACTTCTCAATTGACATTAAAGGCATCCTTAACTCCAGAAATGTTGAAGATTTGAGCAAACATTACTTGAGGGAATTTGTAAGCGATTAAGCCCCTCTAATCATATAGTTGGGAAATAACAGTAAAGAAACATTTTGCTGGTCTATCATTACAGCTGTTGAAAGACTTATTATTGGAATTTTGCGAACACTAACCAATTTTGACGTGTACAAATATAAATGTAGTTGGTACTTCAGGTTCTATGTACCTGTTAGAAGTTTAGAGCAACCGCAATCAGCACATGCTATCATCTAACTATTGGAATGACTGTAAAGACTCATTCCAACAGATTACAGAAGTGAACCTTACCAGTGTGTCGAGACACACGCTGTATTACGGCAGACTCGAATTGACCTCTCAGTCAAGGCCAAAATCAGTGATCTTAATGACATCTTTAGAGATTAAATTTCTGCATCAAAGGAAAAATTACACATAATTCATTGAAAATGTTCAACTATGACTGCTAAAAAAACTGGAAACTGAATAAAAATACCAATCACAGTGTGTACCTGGCCTTAGATCACTGTGGAAGTATTCACGCTGATGAATGCAAGAGAGGCCTTGAAAGACTTGAGAGCACCAATTTTGGATATCAGATTCCGCAAGAAGATTAATAGAATCATTCATAAGATACGAAACCTTCACTTCTCTCAGATTAATATATTCTTCTCAAGAGATATACATATTGTTCAGTATTTTCAACTGCTACCTGTCCATGAAAAATTTTAGTTCCCTGAAATCAAGTACAAATAGTACAGAAGACTTGATCTCTCATAAAGAAAAACTTACAACTTCACCAGTCAGTTTATTGACACCTTGCCAAACATACCAAAAGTTCCATCACCAACTTCTTTGACACAATTATACCTAAAGTTGTATATGAGATAAAAAAAATCTAAGATGAACTATATAAATCAAGGGTTCAGAAGCTAAATATAATATTTAAGAAATTCAAACCTACCTCTCCACCACCTCTACAATAAAGTATCTCATTTAGTTGATGTATATAACTTCACTTCCAGTTGTTTCTATGGTAGAAAATTCAAATTTATCCCGCTGGGTATACATGCCGTTATTTACTTTGAAAATCAATCGATTTACCAGCAAGGAAAAAGAAAGACACCAAGAGAAGGCAAAACATATTGAGGACTGGAAGACACTATAAACCAACATGAAGGAACGTTCTGGGTTAGAAACCCACGCTTCACTCAAGGGGTTCAAAGACTCTAGGAAAAGACTATCAAAACTACTACATGTTAAAACTTAAAAAGACGCTTGGACATCCAGTATAAGGACTAAAACAAATTTTAAACTGTAAGGACCATGTTTAGATGAGGTCTGTAAAATACAAAGATGCTACACAAACCATCATGTTCAAAGAGTTTGACGTAAAAGAACATCCATGACCTAAATATGGATTTTATAAAATCGATCATCTATTATTACTTTTACGGTGTTAATACTACTGCATCATTGTGTGCTGTTTACGATAATTATATAGAGTTGTATGAAGGCTTCCAAATGAAAACAGACCTGGAAAATTGTGATCGGGGTAACCAAGAGCATGAGTTCGTCGTAATTGCAAAACAAAAAGCTCTCCCTCAGGATGGGGTGGATAGATTCTACTAATAGCAACAATGGCATCACCAAATCAAATTTCGGATTGCAGCTTGTAGAATGAAACACACTTAGCTCATAAAGCCCTCCTTTTTTCAAGATGTGC